GACTTAAAACTAAAACTATTGTGAATTATAGATCATATTTGACAAGTACTTACTTTTCGTGACCCAATCGATTGAAGTAGCCTAAGATGGGGGGAAGCAGGGGCGGACTGGACCAAAAAGTGGCCCTGGACTTTCTGGCCCACAGCAGCCCACCGTACGGTGGCCGAGAGAGCTCAACGCGCTGCAACTGAAGCCAAAACATGCAAATAAAAAAAACGCGTGCAAATTAAAAAAACATCATCATCAGTTTCACAACACAGTGTGCTCCAAATACAGAAACACGCTGCAAATAACACAGACCACAGCGGAAATGTTTCCAGGGGAACCAAATAAGTGACGAACCCGGCTGGGACGTGCTTATTGCTCGTGAGCTTCCTTATGCCCTACTCCATTCGAAGGGCAGACGGCAGAGCCCTTAAAGTGGGACTTTGGAGGGAGCAGGGCTGTAGTGTGCTGTTATGTAGCGTGTGAAACGCACTTGATGAAGGGAGCAACGAAAGACAACAATTTCCTCATTATTTTCACCTGGGATGTTCCCATGACAACGCAGCACAGTGTCCATCAGCTGAAGAGCTGGTCTTACGACATAAATATAATGCTGTTAACCTAACGGTTGCAAATACATTTTTACTTTACAAAAAAGCTTTTAAAACTCAAAAGCTTTAAAACAACTTTCTCAACTTTAAAACTTTGGACCCCACATTACCTAAAATTTCTTATGAAACTTTTCTTTATGAAAATTTAAACATAACATGAAACAATTTGTACAGTGTAACTGATTAAAGATAAATATCTTCCTTCCTGTTCTTCTTCTCCATCATTTTATTTATTTAGTTTAGTTTTCAGCTCATTGTTCTTTTCTCATTTGTATTCTGATGACATTGAACATATTGTTAATACATTTTGTAAACTGTATACAAGTTGTATGTCATAAAAATGTAATCTCTGTATGTTTTACAAAAATAAATAAATAGATAAAGTAGAATTTAAAGCTGTAAGCACCAGCACGTCCGCAGGTCCCAGCCGGGTTTAGTCACTTATTTGGTTCCCCTGGAAAGATTTCCGTTGTGGTCTGTGTTATTTGCAGCACGTTTATGTATTTGGGTGGTGTTGTGAGTATTTGGACCACACGTGTATTGTGAAACGGATGAAGATGTTTTCTTAATTTGCGGGTGTTTTTTCTATTTGCATGCGTTTTCTTCAGTTGCAACGGGTTGAGCTTTCTCGGCCACCGTACCACCACATCATAACAAATTGGCCCATTAATGTGCAGAATATTTTTTAACACCACTTATAGCATAAAAATATAACACAATACAAAAATAAATGCTATTTAAACATTTATTTTAAGTAACACAACGCTAGTCAGGGGGAGCTAGAGCCTTCAGAGCCTGTTGAACTGCTACTCTTCGCGCCAAATGTATAATCTGTTCATTTGAAGCATTTCACAGCATCTATCTCTAATGCTTTTTTGTGTACCTGCAGCGGGCAGCGTCGGTTTCTCTTTTTGAATGACGAATATATCTGCAGAAATAGACAGTTGTCTCATTTACAAAAATAATGACTTTATTCGACTATTCCTTTTCTTCCTTGTAGGCCTGAAACGAGACTTCAAGAGATTTCCACGACGCATGCGCGAGAATTGCGATCTCCTTCAACTACTTCAGTTCAGTTCTCGCGCATGCGTCGTGGAAATCTCTTGAAGTCTCGTTTCGGTACAAGGAAGAAAAGGAATAGTCGAATAAAGTCGTTATTTTTGTTTGTTTTTCCGCACAAAAAGTATTCTCGTCGCTTGATAAACTTATAGTTGAGCCACTGTTGCGACATGGAATATTTCAACATTTTCTTTAATGACTTTCTGGGCCGTCAAGTTTCATTCCCTTAGGCAGCCCATGTAGCAGTCATCCAGCTCTCAGATTTAATCATAAATATCTTCATTTGTGTTCCGAAGACGAACGAAGGTCTTACGGGGTTGGTACAGCATGGGGGTGAGTAATTAATGACTTAATTTTCATTTTTGGGTGAACTAACCCTTTAGATATGAATTATTTTGTGCTAGCTATGAGAGGGAGCAATTCACCTCTACTCCAAGAAAACCAATCCCGCCTCCAAAATTATATATATTCCAGTTTTAAATATGCATCGGATTACAGATAGGCCTACGTGTGTGTTTTTTATTTATTTAAAAGAAAACCAATAAAGAAACATTAATTTATTGGTATGGCAATCAGAAAGACTGCACAGAAGTGGAAACTGAACTACAAGTAGCCATAATACACATTAAATGTAGTCACGCAATGCTGATGTTGTTAACATTAACAATTTGAGAACAAAGTATAATTTGAAAGGTTTGACGCAATCGTTATATTTAATCAGCACGATTTACTGCAAGGCTTTCCCCCCCTTAGTTGATCAGAAAAAAAGTGGATGTTAGGCGGCCTGCTTACTTGTTCAGATGACATTTTCCGATGAAAATTCTTATGTTGTCATGGCCATACTGTACTTCCAAAAAGTAGAACCTGTGATTCTGAATACCAGTATCCACACCGGCGCGGTGACTGACAGACGCGCAGTCTCCTCAAAACATTGTGTTCATCCGCGCTGTTTCATGCCGATGCACAACTCACGCAAAGTTAATGATTCCGCGAATAACTGCAATTACAGATTTCGAACAGAGATGGCGACAAAGAGGAAAAACTGCGGACTGCAGCTTTAAAATCCACAGTTTGTGTTTATTCTTTATTCACTGACCCTAATGGAAAAATGAAGAAGAACTAATGATAAAATTACGAAGCCCTACATGAAAATATTGTCTACCAGCCTACAAAATAGCTCTCCCTTACAATGGCAGTAATTTCATGCAGTCGTGCTCATTGCCCACTAAAGGTGGCACTGACTTCTATGGGTAAATTATTAAAACTGCTCAAAAAACTGCTCAATGTTAAAGCTTATATGACTCTTTGTAAAGCTGATTTGAAACTATGTGAAATGAGCGCTTTACGATCTGAATAAAATTCATCAAAACATTATCCAATTGATCCTTACTGAAATCGCCATGGTTATCACAAAATATTTCTGTAGTAGGCCTAGACTACGGCCAAACAGCTTAGTAGATAATTAATAAACTCATACATATAGGAATGTGCATGCTCATGCCTCAAGTCACGCCAATAAGATTGCTGTATTATAAACCAATAAAATCGTGTGTGGGCAGAGCGACAAGTGTAAATCTCATAATTCTGACTTTATAACACGCAATTGCGACTTTATCGCGTAATTCCGAGATAAAATGTCAGAATTGCGAGATGCAAAGTCGCAATTGTGAGAAAAAAAGTCAGAATTGTGAGATAAAAAAGTCGCAATTACCTTTTTTTTATTTGCCATTCTGTGGCAGAAACAAGCTTCCATACTTTGACACATTGAACACCAGCTTTTATTTTAGGCACTTTAAAAGGCACTTTTTTTCTTTCTTTTTTTACAGGTGTTTTACCTGTATTTTGAATTTTGAACTTAATTGCGTTGTGTTCTAGGGTTAACTGAAATGTCTGTAAAATTACTGGATTTACATGTCATTACATTTCCTGGTAATAAGCTGCCAGTACTTTTTCTGTTATTTTATGGATTTGTTTTTATAGTATACTTCACCTATAGATTCTCTTTAAACCAAGGAGTTAGACAAGGATGACCAGTCTTCGCTTATCTATTCTTAATTGCAACACAATTCCTTAACTTAAATATCAATAGTATCATTTAAAGTGTATCAAAATTGGCAACACAAAAGTAGCCTATTAATTAGTCAACCAACTAACGATACAGATTTTTTCTTAAATCATTCATTACAAACTCCATGGCTGATACTTTAAATAAAGTGAATTAAGTGTCCTTTGAGCTGATCCACAGATTTTACCCTGTAACTTTACCCGTTTACCCTGTAGCTGACATCGAGTTAACACTATTTTTATTATTAATATACTATTTTTTTAAGCAAATTGTACACAAATGCAACTTTTCAAACCATAAACCTGCGTTCTCTGTCTTCTTAAGGAAATGGAAACTGATTTCAATGCAATCTCAGCATCTGCTAATAAGAAAGTTAAGACTTTTAGAATCTGCTCTGCTTTGAGGCTCTTCATGTAATAACTTTTCTATAATATAATGGCCCTCTTAACTTTTAACTTATTTATTTTGTTCTGTATTTTTTGTTTAAATTTATTATTATTATTATTACTATTGCTAGTTTTGATATTATGTTCTGGTTATCAGTGTAAAAAAACTGTTTATTATAGTCCTTACGATTGAAAAGGTACTAGAATAAATGTGAGTGCAACGTTGGACAGTAGGTGGCGCTAGAGGGTTTGAGAGACACTCCGTCCAAACATACTATGGTTAATATTGAGACTGTCCTTTATATGTCTGCCAAAAAATCATAAGTTTCCCGCAAGCTGTGCTTGGCCCCTAATAAATAACAAACATTACATTGTCAGAGGATGAATGATAGGTATTTATTGAAAGAGTTTCAAATATTCGCTTGGCTTTTTGGTTTATAAGGTATTGTAACAACTCAATATTGGGCATCAGGTCTGTTTCATACGTGTCGATATTGGGTTTAATATTTACCCATTTACCAAATGTAATAAATTGATTTATCAAGGTTTTATTATTCTTTTTATTAAGTCGACACTATTCCATATCCCGGCCGTTTGTAAAGTTATAGCAGATTAGTTCATTTCTGTAGCTGATGATGCAGACAAATAATTCGATCCAGTAAAATTAGCGCTCCTCCAATGGCTCGTTCTGACTGTGTTCAGTATTCGTGAACACAACTTTGATAATCTGCAACAGTAAACATTGAGATAAACGGTTGACTCTAGTGGAGATATGTTTATTGTTTGTTTGTTTGTTTGTTTGATGGTTTGTTCACCCCCCCCCCCCCCCCATCCCATCCCATCCCATATATATATATATATATATAATGTGTCTAATAAAAGTTGTCATTAAAGGAGTTCTCCTTCGACGTCTGTGTGGAGAAGGACCTTGGAGACATTGTCCTGGTGAAACTTGAAAAGAACTGCTATTTTAATTTTTTTTCGTGGTTTTGTGAGCATATCACAGTGAAAACACCCTCTGGAAAATGCCTTGAGTTCCCCTGTCAGTCCTGGTTACTTGACGAAAAGCCAAGGTTTTACCGAGAAGGCACTGGTAGGCTACATTCATTTTAAATGATTATTATTTTAAAATTTTGTTGTTGTTCAGTTGTTATTGAATCATGATCTTAAATGCTGTCTTTTCTATGTGTAAAATGTGTGCTGTATATTTCTTTGTGCATTCATTTAGCTCGATTGGCTCAGGATGACAACGAATTTCTTAAAGAGAAAAGAATAGAACAACTGCTATTTAGACAGGAACAATTCAGGTTTGAAGAAACAATTACATTCTTGAACAATATGCATTTGTTGCCGTTTTTTCTTTATTCATTCATAGATACAGTTCAGTGTGCTTGACACAATAATATTGTAAATATATTGTCACATATACAGTATGTTGTCATATACATAAGACCTTAGCAGAAGTGTGTGTGTGTGTCACACTCAGGTTTGGATTATGTTTTGTCTTCACACTGCTTTTGTCACTCATTTGTTTTCACGACCCTAATTATTCTCAATTGTGCATTACCATCATTATCACCTGCATATGTTCAGTTCTTTATGAGTTCAGTGTCCGGTGTCGGCTATGTTTTAAGTGTGTGTTGCTCTCGTTCGCCATTCTGTTGGAGCGTTTGTGAATAAACCGGTGTATAGGATTGTATTCTTCTTCCAGCAACCACCCGTGGCAGGAACAGCCCAAACAAGTGAACGCGTTTGTAGAAATTTTCTTGTCAGTTTTCGTGTTCAGTCTTTGCAATTTGACCAATTATTCTGGTGATGCCAAAGGCAATTTGCCATTGTTTAGACACTCGTCCCCCTGCTCAACGTTGGTGCGTTGGAAGGATTTATATTCATCTCAATGGAAGTACAGTACTTAAACTGGACGCTGACTTGGATATTTGCTCGGTTTTGGAAAGTTTTCCCCCTTTTTAACCAGTTAAACTGAGCTGTAAATGCCATGTAATCACTCTGGAAAAGCAAGAAAATTGGTTTCTGGAAATGCTGACACGATTTAGAGTAATCCCAAAAATAGGCCATTGGTAAAATATAAAATATTTTAAGGATTGATTGCAATTTATTGTATTTTTGTAAAAGAAAATCACAAGGCAACTGACAAAAGTCTTAGGCTACTTGTAATTGTTTCTACACACTAAATTGGACTTTAAGAAAAAAATAAAAACACTTCACCTTTAAATGTAATTCTTGGTATCTGTCACATTAGTCCAGAAGAAGAAATGCCAAAAAGGATCAAAATAACAAGGTTTATTAACTAACTCCGAATCAGGTCATGCTAAAACCAATGTAACATAAACAAACAGTGTGCTGTGCACAAACAATAGCAGACAATAAGGGAACTGAAAACAAGAGAGCATATATAAGCAAGATAACAAACCAAAAGCCTAACTGGTGTGATGATAGACTTTTGGAAACTAAGACAAAGGAAACAGGAAACGGATGATAAACAAACTAAGTCCATGAAAGTGAAACTAACTTAACATAAGTGTACATGACAGTGTGACTGTTTCAGTAAATGTTTTCATTTTTCTTGTTGAAGCTGGAAAGTGTCGCCCGAAGGCTTCCCTTTGAGCATGGAGGATCTTACTCTAAAAGTTCAGTTTGATTCAGCAAAATCTTGGAATTTTTTCTTCAATAAGGTGAAAGTGTAAGTTTGTATCCATAGTCCTTGTTGATTTGTTACTGAGATTTTCCTCAGTTCTCCAGAATGAAATTTATGCAAATGGTGTTAATGTCTATAATTATACAGTATGCACTCTGTTTCAGGATTGGGGAAACAGCTCGTGACAAAGTTAGAGGTTTATTTAATTCCTGGAAAGACGTGGCTGATTTTAAAAATGTATTGGGAAATTTTGATCACAAGGACTCTCTAATAGGTTTGTTTCTTCATTTAAAAAAATACTATATATCCCCAAAAAAACAACAATCAATTGTTGTAAGAAACCAACAAAGCAGAGGCACTTTTTTTCATACCTATTAAGACAGTTGACTAAACTTCCCTTTTGAAATCTGGACAGTGACCGTGATGCAAGACTGGAGTAAGGATTACATGTTCGGCTATCAGTTTTTGAACGGCTGCAATCCTGTCATGATCAAGAAGTGCAAGGAAATTCCAGACAAGTTTCCAGTCACACCTGAGATGGTGAAGGGCTTTCTGAAGAAAGGAGTCACACTACAAGAGGAATTAACGGTCAGAAACATTAAGACATTAATCACTTGAACAGTCGGTCAGTTATCAAATTCAAGACTTACTTGCGTGTATTCTGACATCCTTCACATTATTTAGTTTACATAAATGACTCAAATCAATGTTATTTCAACCCATGAACTATTACTTCTAAACTTTGCACCTGTGTACATGTTTACAGGCGGGAAAAATCTACATAGTGGATTATGACATACTGGAGGGAGTCCTAACAGCCAACGATCCGGAGTGTCTGAATGCGCCCCTCTGCCTGCTGTACAAGAACAGACTGGACCAAATTGTGCCAATTGCCATTCAGGTATCTGTCCCATAAATAATCAGTATCAAATGAAAACATAAATTAAAAATAAAAGTGCCTTTGCTGTGAATTTACTAACTGAAGTAAAAATATCCTGTTTGGCTTTATTATATCTGAATCAGCTCAATCAAACCCCAGGGGAAAAGAGCCCAATCTTTCTCCCAAGTGATAATAAATATGATTGGATGCTTGCCAAGATGTGGGTGAAATGTGCCGACTTCACTGTACACCAGTTGGAGACGCACCTTCTCAAGACACATCTGATATCAGAGGTTTTTGAAATGGCCATGTACAGACAGCTCCCTGCAGTCCATCCTGTATACAAGGTACATGTCTCTCAATACACAGTCATGATTTTTAGATTCAGGGCTAAACTGAAGATTGTAGTTTCACATGTCAATTTATTGATGAAGGGTTGCTGGTTCTGATGTCCTTAACTTCTTTTCATCCATGGTTTAATGTTAACCAAAAACCTCCAGGGAATGACATGAAAACCACTGACATTTTTCTGTTTCAGGTTATGCTTTTAAATCAGTTTTTATGATTTAATGCACATGTTTAAATGCTTCTTACAGTTACTGAAACCTCATGTTCGTTTCACAATTGCAATCAATGCAGAGGCTCGTAAAAGTCTCATCAGTAAAGACGGGATCATCACCCAGGTAGCTTTACACCTAATTTAATATTTCCACACATAAATAGCATATTGTTAGGATTCAACGCGATTCTATTCATATTTGATTATTTAGTCTTTTTCTGGCAAACCATAAATTCTGTCCTTGATATAGGTTTAAAGACGCACACAGTGTTAACAAACCTTCATGATGGCCTGAGCCATTACCTGACTTTCTGGCTTGTGATATTCTGTCTTTTTGCTGAATGCTCTTACTTCTATTTCATAGACTACCTTGTATTTAGTTAGCTGGTGTTTGCTTAAACTGACAGACCTAATAGTTCCTAAATTTCAAAAAGTCAACGAGTAGGCTAAATAAGTGCCGAAAATATTTAGGCAAAATATGAACTGATTTCTTGGTATCCACAGATTAGTAGCCTCACTGACAAAGGGAAAAATGAAGTGATTAGAAAAGCCATGGAGAATTTATCCTATGAGTCCCTGTGCTTCCCTGAGACCATAGAGGCTCGAGGAATGGAAGATGCGCCCAAGTACTATTATAGAGATGATGGCATGAAGATCTGGGAGGCAATACACAAGTAGGTGTTGCAACAGTTCAGATCATGTACTACTAGTGCAAAAGTACAAATTAGTTCACATACACTCCAATAAAATGTTATTTTTGTTAATTTGTTAATTTGTCATCTTTTTGATCTTTCTGTAGTTTTGTGTCTGCTGTGGTCAACATCTACTATGACAGCGATGAGAAAGTTCAAGGAGATGAGGAGATTCAAGAATTTGTTAAGGATTGTCACCATGGCATGAAAGAATCTCCCAGTGAGAACAGGTTTAACTTATCAAAGGCCATGTTTACACCTGGTCAATCGCATCACAAGAGGATGATGCTAAACACAGGTGTAAACGGGGTCTAAATGTTTTGAGCTAGTCCTCTTTCGACCACTTCCAGAGGTTGTCGAAAAAACCCATTTGACTGGATTGCTTTCATAGTGTAGACGCTCATGTTGTCGAATGCATTCGAACAGTCACTAAAACACCGCCTATTTTACGCCTACTGACCAGTCTTTTTATGGGCAATGTGGAATTGATAGATTCTTTTAGATTAAGACCAGTTACTGAAAGTGGAGTTTTTAAATGTATTCATTTACATTTATTCATTTAGCAGACGCTTTTATCTAAAGCGACTTACAAATGAGAACAATTGACAGTTAAACTAACAGTAGGACAACAATATGCAAGTGCTATGACCCCCCTCAGTTTCATCTATGTCCATGTAATTGTTTTGTTTTTTTAATAAAAAATAGAATAGAATAGAAAGTGTTAGTGTTACTGGATCAAGTGCTGCTGAAAAAGATGGATCTTCAGCTGTTTCTTGAAAGTGGCTACTGACTCAGCCGCTCTGGTTGAGTTGGGCAGACCATTCCTCCAGCAGGGAACAGACATGGTAAAGATCAGAGAAAGAGATTTTGTGCCTCTTTGAGATGGTACCACAATACGACATTCGCTTGCAGAGCGCAAGTTTCTGGATGGCACATAAGTCTGAAGTAATGAGTTTAGTTAAAAGGGAGCAGTGCCAGTGGTTGTTCTGTAGGCAAACGTCAGTGACTTGAATTTAATGCGAGTGGCAACTGGCAACCAGTGCAATTTTGTGAGGAGAGGAGTGACGTGTGCTCTCTTTGGCTCATTAAAGACCACTCTGGCTGCAGCATTCTGGATCAGTTGCAGAGGTTTGACAGAGCAAGCTGGAAGACCAGCCAGGAGAGCATTACAATACCAGTCTGGATAGAACAAGCGCTTGGACAAAGAGATGTGTAGCATGCTCTGTTAGGAAGGGCCTGATCCTCCTAATGTTGTGCAAGGCAAATCTACATGACCGGGCAGTTCTAGCAATGTGACCTGTAAAGTTCAATTGATCATCAATTACAACCCCAAGATTCCTGGCTGACCTTGATGGAGTTATGGATGATTAGCCTCGCTGAATGGAGAAGTTGTGATGATGTGTTGGGTTGGCCGGGACCACAAGTAGCTCTGTCTTCGCAAGATTTAGTTGAAGGTGGTGGTCCTTCATCCAGCCAGAGATGTCTGTCAGACAGGCTGAGATACGAGCAGCTACCGTGGGATCGTCAGGCTGGAATGAGAGGTAGAGTTGTTTGTCATCAGCATAGCAGTGATAGGAAAAGCCATGTCTCTGAATCACAGATCCTAGTATCTGGTGGTTAACTGTGTCAAAGGCAGCAGACAGATCCAGCAGGATAAGAACTGAGGATTTGGAAGCTGCTCTTGCCAGTCTCAGAGCTCAGAAGAGATCTGGTTGAAAACAACTCGTTCAAGTGTTTTTGCGACAAATGGAAGAAGGGAAACCGGTCTGTAATTTTCCAAATGTGCTGGATTGAGAGTGGGTTTCTTAAGCAGTGGGGTTACCCGAGCCTGCTTAAAAGCTGTGGGAAAGGTACCAGTGTGAAGAGAGGTGTTTATGATGTGTGTGAGTGTGGGTACAATTGAGGAAGAAATGGCTTGAAGTAGATTAATGCAAATAGGATCAAGCGGACAGAAGGTTTTGAAAAGCATGCGAGAGTCAGAAGAATTGTTAATTTTGTTGTGATAGTAAGTCATTTTAGCAGTAGAGATATTAAAAGAGAAAGAAGTGAGGAGGGATTGATAAAGACCAAGGTCTGTAGGATCTTTCGATTTGCGCCCCTTCCTCTCTGCACCTCTGAGTTTAGAACGATGTTCGCGGACAACATCAGATAAACAGGGGGTAGAGGGTGTGGCGCGGGCTGGCCTGGAGGAAAGGGAGCAGAAGTTGTCCAAGCAGGATGTTAAAGTGGAGAAAAGAGTATCAGTTGCACTGTTAGCATCTAGTGTTGAGAGCTGATCAGGTGGAGGAAGTGTGGATGAGACCAAAGAGGATAGGCGAGAGGGTGAAAGTGAGCGTAGGTTCCGCCGAAAGGTGACCTGTGGAGGAGTGTGTGTTGTGCTCTGAGGCAGGTTGAGGTTGAGAGTGAGGAAGTGATCTGAGGTGTGCAGCGGAGTGACCAATGAATGGTGAGTGGAGCAGTAGCGCGTGTAAATAAGATCCAATTGGTTACCTGATTTGTGAGTAGCCGCAGTAGATAATCATTTGAGGTCGCATGAGGCAAGCAGGGTGTGGAAATCAGCAGCATGAGGTTTTTCTAGGTGGATGTTAAAGTCACCAAGAACTATGAGAGGAGTACCATCTTCAGGGAAGGATGAGAGTAGATCAAGCTCCTCCATGAAACTGCCAAGTTGACCTGGGGGACGATATACAACTACAAAATGGATTTTAATAGGACGGTAATAGGATGGTAATTGAATGTGATTCAAATGAGCTGTTGTCACACAGAGGTGGTAAAGGATCAAATTTCCAGCCATTTGAGATGAGCAGACCAGTACCTCCACCCCTTCTGGTCAGACGAGGGGTGTGTGAGAAAGTGAAGTTAGTGGAGAGGGCAGCAGGTGTGGCAGTGTCCTCTGGTCTGATCGACTAGCCTGGCCTGAATGACTAGAAATAGATGTAATGGAATCATCTTGGTTTACAGTGGACTGGCAGTTCCAGAGACCAATTGGAAAAGAGAATAAATTGTTAGAAGACACTGGAAAGGTACACAGGTTGTTAGGATTGTACTGCGTCTGACGTGTGACATTTGATTTACGTCTGTTAGTAATAGTAGGGATTTGAAAACACAGTGTAAAAGAGCTCACAAACAGAAAGATCAGAAGTTGTGTAGAATAGAAAGAAAACAACAATAAAATAAAATAAACAACAAGAATTTAATACTCAAGTGCCTTGTCTGGATTCTTGCTCGGTGGAGTCGCACAGGTAGAGTCGCTGGTCTTTACACTCTTCGGTCTTCACAGGATGAGGGCTTCACACGAGGGCTGCCGCGACCGCTGCCGTGGAGCACTAAGCAGTTATATACACGTCTAATACCTCGTTAATGACTACAGCAGGCCACGCCCCACAACTAAGCCAACCGAAACTCAAAAGTCACGACACACAAACAAATGCCCAGTCTGTGTGAGTTTTACCAGGGTAAACAAAAAAAAAATGTTTCCTAGCAACGAAGAGCCGCGCTAAAATCTAATGAGAAAAGTAAACACTCACAGATTGATCTTCTTTCCTGTTGTTCTACTGCTTCTTCTGCTGCTTCTTCTTCTGCTTCTTCATTATTTATTTCACGTATTCGTGAAATAAAAAAAAATAAGGCACCTGGAATTGACAATATTCCTACAACATTTTTTAGTGAGTGTGCTAGAGTAAATGCTCCTTTTGTATTATTAATGTTAAATTTATCAATTGAACAAAGAAAAATACCAAGTGAGTTTAAACGTGCTAGTTATTCCATTATATAAAAAGGGTTGTAAGTTAAATATGGTTAATTATAGGCCTATTTCTATTAATGGAATGAAAAAAATAGTCTATGACCAGATGGCTCGCTCCACGGCTTTCAAGACCTTTATACGTCTTAAGCCACGAAGGGGGCTGGGCTGTCCTATTCTGAGGAGTGGAAGCGAGACCAGAAGGTGAACACCGCCTCTCGTGCTTCCCCTCCTTCCAGGGGTAGAGTGTGGAGGAGACGTGAAGCAAAAGGGAGAAGAGAAGATCTCAGGGAAGTAATCCAGACTAATCTCTCTGAGTGTTATAGTTTCCCAGAGGCAAAATAACATCTAAGGTAACCTCCTTACCTTATCTCCATTCTCAGAGCCAGAGTTGGCTAGTAATACTGAGTTGTAGGCTCCTGAGCCTCCTTTGGTGCATCTGGGTGGGGAGTGGTCACTGCTTTTGAACTAGAGCGTTGTTGGGCCTCCTCTCGCTATAGAGATCAGTTCTATTAGAGGCCTCCGCTCCTGAGCTCCGCCCATTATTGTGTCAGGCTGCTAGCCCTGTTATGTAGCTTCCTTGACAGGCGTAGGACATAGCCTATGTCTGAGCTCATAGGATGAATACACTAAGTGTTTGGCTCTCTGTGAGCCTCCTTGGCCACTGCGAGCATTGTTAGGATTCCCGTTCGCTAGAAAGACTTATCTTACTAAGGCCTCCGCTCCCTTGAGCTCAACTAGGATAGCAATTGCGGGTTGCCCTTTTATACTCATGATCGCAACACTAATGACGTCATAGGCTACCGCCTGCCAATGTCAATAAAATTGTCAGGTTTAGACTCAGCTCACCGGTCACATTGGATTGTTTACTCTTTTAACTTGTGGCCACGAGAAATAGATGTTGTCCTCTCAACATATGAAGTCACAAGAAAACACAAGGAAAAATATATTGTTCCCTTAAAATAGAATCTCGAGGCCATGACTTTATGACTTTAAAGTAGAACTGAAGCCTACCTCTCTCATTCGCCACAAATCCAAATGTTTCATTTTAAATAAGCGTATCTGTTCAGAACGATTACATTTAATTTCCGGTTTTGTTCCTGTCAAAGTTTTGTTCTTTTCCAGTTTACGTTCCTTGAACCAGTTCGGAGTCCTGCTTAAAAGTAAAAAATGTCCAATAATTTACTCAAGTAAATGTAATGGAGTAAATGTATTTTACCCACCTCTGCATGCGCTCTCAGCATTTGGCATGGTCTCGTGGCAGTCAAGAGCAGAAATTAAAGCTGCTGCTCTCTGTATGTTTTTCCGTCGTCTAGGTTTACGTTCATATGTAAATTAAGCAAGCTTATTTCGTCCATTAAATCGAAATCAGGACAGAAGTGGTTGAAAGTGGACAAAAGAGACGGATTAAAACACCAGGGGTCTCATTTATAAAACTGTGCGTAGGATCCTTACTAAAAGTGTACGTGCGCCTGAAAGCCAAAAATATAAATATTCAGACTTATAAAACCGTGTCGACCAGAACCTGCGCTGAATTCACTTTATAAATCCCAGTCAGCGGAAGATTGTGCGTACATCCGTCTCCTCCCCGAAATAACCATATATGAGCTTACAACGCCTTGTTGTACTATACATATCCTCATCTGCATATCATTTGCATATGATTATTCATCCGCATGATAACATGTTTAACGGTACAAGACATTAGGAAAATATGAAATACGGATCACATTACATTAATAAAAATCATTTAGTAGTCTATCCTTGCCTTTTTTTAAAATAAATAAATCAAATAGAATGTAATAGCAAATTTTCTATTAAACAATCATCAAAGCGTAAGAGACAGTCTGAGAATTAAAAATGATTTATTTCTTGCAAGAAACAGGTTCAGTTGTTCCACAGAGGTAGTCAATGTACAGTCTGCGACACAAAAGTGAACGAAGTGTGGAGGGGGAGCGCAGTTTTTTATAACCCTATCTCAAGGTCTGTTCTTCTGCCCATAGATAGACTAAAGTTCAGTTTTCTCTAGTCAGGAAATCATAATAATAACCTGAACTTTAGGGTTTGGGCATGCTCTTTTACTTGCTCTAAAACCGGCCTGTACTTTGACCTTTGGGGTCAAAGTCCATCCGTTTCTCCCCGTCCATCCTTCTCACCTGCTCGCTTCAATCAGCAAATCAGTAGTAGCAGCATTCATTGGTTTGGAAGAGGTGGTAATAATTCTGCCATAACATAGAATAAAATACATTTCAGAGAAAGTTTTTCTCAATATTTTCCACTGGCCAAATATTATTTTTAATTGATTTATATTTTTATTGCAAACAGATTGGCCTTGTTGTGTATTATTTGCACTAACCTATTTTCTCAGACAATCTGCTATTATCATTATAAGCAATTATCTCTGTAGTTAAAGCATTAAACCACAGCATTCCAGAGGAAGAGTGTTCAAAAGTATTGCATTCACAACAAATATTTTTATTTATTGAATATAAAAAATGTTGTAACTTCTCAGTAATGATTTCATGTAGTTTAAGTGTCTAACTCATATAATGAGAATGGCATATTTAATCTAAATGACTGTCAAATAGTCTTTAAATATCATCCCATAAACTGTATAATCACACCATAGCAACCACATAAAGTACCCTAGTAACCATACCAAAAAAAAAAGAATAAGCTATATCTCAGCACCAGAACATCGTACAGACATGGTTGTTGACTCGTATGCAATCATGTTCAACACCCTAGCAACCGAGTTGCAAGTTTTGCTGTTAGATATAGGCAGTAGATTTTCTGTCTAAAAGTGACCAAAAAGACATTTAACTCCAGCTCACCAAACTGCTCCATCTCCAAAATGTTCGTACGCATGGGTCAGAGTTTGTGTGCAGGTGCGCAAATTTTCCTGTCAAGTTTTTATAAATCACAACTTATGCGTCGGAAGGCGTACGCCTTTTTCGGGGCTTGTTTTGTGCGTATGAAACGGTTATAAATCAGGCCCCAGGTGTAAACGGGAACGTGTCTCCATTAACTAGTGATCCAATCAGCCAAAACGCATCTTAATACCAGGTGTAAACTGGGCCAAAATGTCAGTGTTGGTCTGTGGAAGCATGCATGATTGTTTGTATTCATGTATATTCTATATGCATCTTTGTGTGTTTCAAGTCACCCTTAAATGTGTGCACAAGTTAAATGCGTACTTCCCCTGTTCCCAGAGTTTCCAAAGTCTCTGAGAACTCGAGAGGAGTTAGTCAAGTACCTGACCGTTGTGATATTCACAGCTTCAGCACAACATGCCGCTGTAAACTTTGGACAGGTGAGATTACACACTTTCATATCATCTGCAGGAGAGTTAAAAATGGCTAGGCAACATTATGGATAATTTCTATAAGCTAATATCTGTGAGTGAACTTTTATGTTGCAGTTTGACTGGTATGGCTGCATCCCCAACAGTCCTTCCATCATGCGCAAGCCGCCTCCCGAACAGAAGGGCAAAGTGGACATGAAGTATATCATGGAGAGTCTGCCTGATCGTGGATGTTCCAGGACGACTCTAGGAGCAGTTTGGGCCCTCAGTTGCTTCCAGACGGATGAGGTTTGATGTCTGATTTGAATAGAGAACATGACAGCAGTCTAGTCTAAATCAGTGTGAAAAAGAATTAACCTGTTACCAGCTGAGGGTACAGAGCATCAAAGTATGAGTTAAAAAAAAGGCCAAAGATGATTTAAAAAATCTATATATGTAGGCTCAAATACATTTTAAATTCTTATTGTTGTAGATTGTTTGCTTGCTACAGTGTATATTTTCTGCGGCACTGCCAACATACAAGTATTTCAGTCAGGTAGTGCAATTCATTTAACTGACCCTTTGCTAAGTCCCAATTTAAAAAGTCATCATGTTTGGGGAGTAACATAATATTTATCTATTCACTTAAAGGTGTTACGCATTTAAAATATTAGGTGCTCTGATCTGTTATAGTCCAGTATACAGTAAATCATAATAATAACTGCGCTGTTCATTGCACACCGCAATTTTAGTCTGCATGCAAAGAAGAGGGCAGCAAAAAACTGAGAATGAAACGTCTACTAGTACACTAAATATGATGTGCCACATTCACACTTTTATATCCACACATTTTAAAATTCAAAACAGTGTTGAATAAGTAATACATATGTTACAAATTCAATTTTAAGCAAATTATTCTGTGTATTTTGTAGTGCAATACATTTCTTCCAATCCTAACAGGCAAGCTTTTGCTCTTCTATAATGTCAGTAAATGGACGTCCTGTGTGTTTGGATATATTTAAAGCTGCTGTCCGTAGCTTTTTTGGGGTTAAAAATTATCCAAACTACATATTTGATAAAATACATAACCAGCCAGTGTTCAAAACTATCTGCTTGCCTTAGCTCGATGCAAAACGGTAAGCTTGTAATAATGTTTTTAATTTTAGTGGTACTGGTGGATTTCCGCGGGAGATTCGAGCATTACGTCACATCTGTACACATAAAGAAGGAGTCTCGGCTAGTATAAGCTATATTGCGTGTGAGGATGTTGGAGGTAGAGATTTATAGCCTTTTCTCACAGCACTTGATATAATTAAACTTATCAATTTGATGGCGGATCCAGAAAGGTTCAAACAACGATCATCATCAGTGACAACAGATTTACCCGCTGTAACATGCAAAAGACTTCGTTTGGACTTCGGAGTGGCTACAGAAAAAAAGAGACTGCAACCGGACCATGCGAAAACAAGGATAATATCGGAAGGACATTACATGATGTAGTCACGCAATGCTTGCTGACGTTGTTAACATTAACAATTAGAGAACATAGTATAGCTACTTTGCACGGTTTTGCGTGAAATGATAACTTATAAGCAATTGTTAGATTTAATCAGCGCGATTTACTGCAATGTCAGAACCAGAACAAAAGTGAATGTTTCTTTCTAGTTCAGATGACATTTCCCGGTGAAAATTCTTATGTTGGTCATACTTCCAAAAAGAATAATCTGTGATTCTGAATGACAATATCCACATCGGCGCGGTGACTGACAGCTGCACACTCTCCTCAAACACTGTGTTTATCCGCGCTGTGCCGTGTCGAGGGTGTTGAACTACAACCCACGTAAAGTTGATAATTCCGCGAATGACTGCAATTGCAGATTTCGAACAGAGATGGCGACAAAGAGGAAAAATGCCGGACTGCAGCTTTAAACTAAATGCTCTAAAAGTTATAGAAGAGATCATTTATCTTGTTTCTGGAGCACATATAACAGTGACAATTATTTTTGATAAGTTTTGATTAAGGTCACAGGCGGGTTAGTAAGAAAACAGTTCCCAGTATTGTGATTATTTAGTAGATTAGTAAAAGATAGATTCAATTTTAATTTTTTCTAAATAAATTAGTAAATTATAAAGAGTTCTGTTCACTCACACTAATGTTATCAGCTCTCTGTAACACATTTCCACCTACAACTTAAAAATGTATTAATTGGCTGTACAAGTCAGATCAACTCGTTATTTAAAATCTTGACTTAAAAATGTGTTGAATCTTGTACAACTTATAAATTTAAGCTAAAATTGGTGAAATTAATGGAAAATATATGACTTATTGGTCATATAATATTTTTACAGTGGTGTAATCGGCTTCTCTCTGTTCATCTGAATGTAAAAAGCATTTGCACTCATTCTGATCTCTGCTGATCTGCAGTTCTTAATCATGTCAGCATTATTTTACAAGTTCTTTAATGAAACACGGCAAATAAAAATGCTTTGCAATGTCAGACTTCATTCCAAGAATAATCCCAGAAGAATCCACAATTCTTTGTTAGTTTTATAAGCTTGTCTGAGTGATTGACAGTAACCAAGGAGGCGGAGCTTAGAGAAGGGTCAGTTAACCTTGTAGAAAGAAAGAAAGATGTTGTTCTGCTTTCTGAAGAACTTACTTTTCCCCCCAGCGGTACTTAGGCATGTATCCAGAGATGGGCTTCACAGAGGAACCAGTGAAGGAAGCCATAAAGACTTTCCGTGAGGAACTAGATGAGGTGACCAAAGAAATCAAGAGCCGGAATGAGGAATTAAAATTGGCTTATTGTTATTTGTCCCCAGACAAAATCCCCAACAGTGTTGCAATTTGAGAAAATATTGTGCCAGGTCTATAAATAATGTTTATGGCCAATGTGTGCTTGATATAAGAGAGAAGAACAGCTCTACTTAAGTATTGTAAAACACAGAGCATTCAGCCTTTTGAGGCGATTTATAGAAATTATGTTTCATTAACTCTTTTTGTATTTGACTCTGTTGCTGGGAAGTAAGGGATATTACTTTGTAATGCCATCTGTGCACATATGTATGTTATCTCAGGGGTTATTGTTTGGTTCACACCAGGAAAGCAGAACAGTTTATTTGACTATATGCTTTAAAGAGCTAAACTTGTGCTATAATCCATTTATTATTGTCTTTCTTTTTTATTCTTTTCTTTAATCATATAAACTTGCAAATGTATATATCCATACTGTGGTATTAATTCTCATTACTCATCTTTTGATTCATTTATTCATATTCTTTATTGCTCAGATAATCTATTGTTTGTAGTCTATTTTAGATAATCATTTGATTTATTTTTTACCTTACAGTTAAATTGAGATCTTACAGATCTTATCTTCTATATTGATTTTGCGATGATTATATTGTATACACATGAATGCTGTAAAGGAAATGTTTTGAGATTGTGAACAACTCTGACAGCACTTCAAATGGTTCTTACATTTGCTCTTTTAACCTGGAAAGCTCTTATAATAAAGAAAGCTTTAATAAAATAAAAGGAAATAATGTTTTCCATTACATCTATTATCAAGATTTTGTTTTCTTTGTGATATCATGACAACTGTTTTCTTTTTTCATTATAAAAAAAAAAAAACACATTTAAAGGCTATTATTCATAGCCTGACTTCGTCATACTCATATTCTAGTCAGATGTGAGTCTGATACTGCTCCATAGGGCTTTGATTATGAGGCGTGTCTTAACCGAACCAGGAAAAAAAAAAAAAACTCTGCACTCAATTGGATAGACCTACAACCAATGAGAGCAATGCAGTAAGTCAACTACTTTGCATAGCACAGTTGTCAACTACAGAACTCAAATGCACGCACGCTGGAAGAAGTAAAATAACGAGTGTTGCTTCTTTTACTTGGTCCTCCATGAGTGCGACCAAAGGAGAAACCACAACGACCACAGGGTTTTCATCGCGTCCCATCTTCTTAGTGACCATCGGAGCCAGCTGATAAATTAAACTTTTGCCGAATCCCGTAGGAAGGACGGCAAAGATCTTTCCGATCGACAAATGGCTTGATTGCAGTTCTCTGTTCGTCTATTAAAATGAATGCGCTGTCGATTTCTTTTACAACAGACGCGATAGCGTAATCTATACATCTCAGTTCTCCAGCGGCAGTCATCTCTGAGGGAAACCAGTTAAGCGCTCTTTGATAACGTGATGATTACGTCCCTGCAGATCATCTGTCCATCATCGTATAAAGCCCGCCCTGGCAATTTGATTGGCCCGAACATTTTTTGACTGATCATAATTACTCCTCAATGGAGCGAGTCCAGACCGAACTTCCCGGCCAAAAAATTTTGTGGGCGGGGTTCGGGCTGGCATCCAGGCTATATTATTCAGGTTATAATTTACAGTCATTTTTATTCGCTTTGGTACTATTTTAAAGGTGTACATTTTCAAAACTCTTAGTACTAATATCACAACAGATCATCAAAAGGACACTTTTCAATTTGTTTTAAATTGTTTTAGTACAATACTCAAAATCACAAATGATCCTTTTCACAAAACAAAATAACTGTTTCATCTACATAAATGTTTCATTCAAAGTAGCTGCCTTTCATAATGCCATTACTATCAAACTTTTGATTTGCATCTCTTCTTGTTCAGTTTAATACATGTGTCTATTATTTAATCCAACTGATCTTAATGGTTAATCAATTAATCATTTGGTACACATATATTTCTATAGATATAGTGGTAACACTTTATTTTAGTGTAGTGCTGTCAAATGATAAAAATATTTAATCACGATTAATCGCATTAATGTCATAGTTAGCTCGCAATTAATCGCACATTTTTATCTAATCTAAATGTCTCTTGATTTCTTTTTGTCCCATCATTTTTTCTAATTTGAATGCACTTATCAACATAAAAAATTGGATCGGCTTGCTTTGTGCAAATGTTTTTTATTTTAAACAACATTGACAATACTGTTCAATTTCACACTAAAACATTCTCACTTGGAGCAAATAATCTCTCACACAATGTAACACTGTCCATCAATAAATGGGTGAAAGAAATAATACGAGGTCCTGATATTGACGAGGGGGCGGAGAATTCGCATCAGCTGTGTGTGTGTGTGTGTGTGTGTGTGTGTGTGCGCGCGCGTGCGCCTGTGTGTGTGTGTGTGTGTGTGTGTGTGTGCTTGGCCATCAAGTGGTATTTCAGACTGGACGTGCTGCGATGATAGCTCAGTTCACAACGACAAAACACACAGATCACGTTGGTCTTGTCAAGGGAAACTTTCAATTCAGAATCTTATTGGCATCCATTTCGGCGTCTCGCGCTCGTCATCCACTCAAAATGTAACGTTAACCTACTATTTGGCCGGCTCACAACAAGTGTGTTTCCGGTCTAGCTAGATCCGGCGCTTTAAGACAGGACGCGGAATGCGCGGCGCTACGCCAGTTTTCAAAACTTTTTGGATACCAAAAAGTTTCTATTGGCCGCGCTGGTAATCGTCACAGCGGCAAAAGTTGAACTATTTTGAATTTTGACCGCGGTGTGGTCGAAGAAGCAACAAAACCTCCTCGCGCGGCACAAGCCATTGAAATGAATGGGTTTCATAGCGCACCGCCGCACATGCCGCGTCCTGTTGCAAAAGCATGTGGAAAAAAACAACAAAGTTTGCTTGGCCAAAAAGCGCGTTTCTCCTATAGTATCCAGCTGCAGACCCGCAGCACCATAGATATCATATAATAAAGGCTAGATGTCTCGTCCGCGCTGCTGGCCAATGGAGGTCGACATCCGCACGTGGCGGCCATCTTGTCACAGGCAGCTCGCTCACTCGTAACATTGTGTTTTAATGGTGCATGTACTTTTAATGTCTTCTGTTAATCTTTATACTGTTACAAAACAGCTGTAAACATTTGTTGTTGTTTTTTTGTTTTTTTTTACTCTCATGTCAATTTACTTTATTTACTGAACAGTGTTTTTTTTGTGGGTTTTTTTTTTCCTTTTGTTAATTTTTATTGCCTTTCATTGGCCTTAACTGGGACAAATAAAAAGATCCCATCTGAACAAACTCATCCAACCTCTCCTGAGTGCTTACATCTGCTCATGACGATTCAGTCACGTCTACCCTTAACAAGCACTCTGATGCCCTGGAGCCTCAGCGGAGCTAGAGCTGCATCCATACATTTGGTAAATGTGCGAGGGGAGAGAGCTAACAGGTATATAAAGTGCACTGTTAAATGTATGTAAAGTTTGTTAGAATTCTCACAAAATGGTTTGTTGACATGTACCTGATATTACTGCCTAAGTGAAGTTGAGTGTCTTTTCCTTTAATTGATGTGATGTCATGAGTCAATATAATTTCCGGTTCTGTCCCCTCCTCTTCCTCTTTGCATTGGTGATGCAGTGAGAGGTGAGGTTATTTTGGGCTCCCCATAATCATCTTTAATCCTAATCTTAATTGTTGCTTTTATGTCTATATTTTCACTCTAATTCCTGTGTATAATATTATTTTACCTATCTGTGTGGCGATTTTTGTAATTTCATCACGATTAAGCGATATTTTTGCTTATGGGCCTAAATGTGAAATGAGAGCACACGTGATAAGTGTACATCACATTTGTTTTATAGAGTTATTTCGAGGGCGACTCTCACACTAAGAGGCTGATTACATTTGTTTTATATCAGGAAATAAAGATCAGTGAAACTGCCGAATGCCGTCCTGTCCTTCTCATGATACCAACTAAAAACACAACGCAGAAAAGAGACCAGTTACACTAGGCCGAGTGGAAGTACGCTTCGCCCCCGAAAGCGAACCTCAGGAACTTCCTGTGAGATGGAAGGATGGATATGTGGAAGTATGCGTCCTTTAGATCTATCGTGACAAACCAATCCTCGTATTGATTTTGACACACGATGATGGGAATAGTGAGCATCTTGAACCTGAATCTCCCCAGAGAACGATTCAAGTGCCTGAGATCTATTATTGGACGCAACCCCCATCCTTCTTGGGAACTATGAAGTAGTGGCTGTAAAACCCGGACTCCCTGTCCGGTGGAGGAATACACTCTATTGCCTCCTTTACTAGCAGAGAGTTTACTTAACCTTAGAACCTAGGCTGGCTAGAATCTCTTTGACGAAGCCTTCTTTGTTGAGACTTCGCCTGAGAGCGACGCTCTCTTTTTGCGCCTGTTTGTAGGCGCAAGCATTTTAATTCCTCAGAATTAAATGCATCCAAAAACACAGGATAAGTGAAACACAGTCTGAATGGTAGGCTGAATTAAAATATCTAACTTTCTAAAGTCAGATAATATTCCATAATTTAAATTTCTTAAAATTCAATGCAGCAAAATTATCAGACAATACTTTTTAATATGTGTTATACAACATTTAATATGTGTTATACAACACATGTTCATCCCTTGAGAAGAAAGTTAACAGGTGCGCGGCTGAAACATCCGACAGCGCACGGATATACGCGTCGAGATATTTCTCAATGAACACAGCCAGCACCCTCAGGAGCGGACTGTGAATGCCTCGCACCCAAACAGTATTATTTCTGTTATATTTTCTTTATTGCAGTAGACTCGTAATCTACGCGCTGCCTCGGCAAACGCGAGATTCGAGTCGTTCACAATATGTTTGGCTTTCATCTCTCGAGAAGAAAGTCAACGGGCGCGAGGCTGAGACACCCAAAAACGCACGTTAACTGTGTGCGTCGAGATATTTCTCAGTGAACACAGCCAGCACCCTCAGGAGCTGACCGTGCAATGCCTCGCACCCACACAGTATCTTTATTGCAGTAGACGAGTTATAAATGTTATAAATGAGTTTTTATGAATGAATGGCTTGCTCTAACTGTTGCCCTGGTCTTCGTCAACAACACCGCTTGCACCCCCTGCTGGTGAGTTTGACTAACAGCAGATGGAGATTATGCTCAGTAATCTACTGCTTTTCCTGCAGTTCCTGGATGTCAACATTGAATTACTGTCGAATTTGAACCACTGAATTTGAGGAAGCGAATTTGCAAAGCGAAATAAAATGGAGCGAAAACCGCCTGTTGAATATTATAGGTTGTATTTTTAATCAGTTTGAATATTTTGGAAGTGAAATATAAAAGGTGAATATGGATTATTGAAATTTTACTAATGAAAATGTGTTTGAAATGTTTTGAATTTAAATATTCACAGCTTAAATATTCAACCATGCTAAATTTCATTCCATAAAAATGCAAGCCCTAAAAATACAATGCATTAAAATACAAGCAGGGTTAATGCAATGCATATTTTTTTTCAAGTAGTGCAATTCAAAAGGCTTTTTGTTTCAAAAACATTTGGCATTAGTCTACTTGCATATCGCCATTCACACAGATCACAATGATTAAAAATGCTGTATTCTGCTGCCAGGCCATTGGATGGCGATGAAACACTATAGACAGAATGCGTAATACACATGTGCATGACGTCATCGTTTTCAGAAATTC